ATTTCATGCAGGAGCCTGTCTTTTGAGCAGCACCATCCTCCATCCTAACAAAAATATTGCAGGAAGGCCTGAATGGAGCGAGCAGGACTTTGATCCTGCAGCCGGTCAGTTGCTGCAGTTCCCTATGCGTAGCGCTGGGATTCGTGCCAGCAAAACGGATGGCAGGGTGGAGTCTGGGGTTTTCAGCTTCTCGGAGACCAGGAGGTTTTGTGTGTCTTTAATATCTACAGAATGCTTCTGCTTTTCTTCTACTCCCTGAGCATAAAGGAACCGGTAGGCAATAGTTGGGAAGTTTAAATAAATCCCAGGTTGTATATGCTCTGCACAATCCCTGCAAGAGAGCCCCAAACTACAGTAACCTGTCAGTGAACTTCGGGTGTAATTGAGCGGCGTAGGAGCTCAGTTAGCAAGGTGCTCCACACTTCCCCTTTTTTACTGATTTCAGAGAAGGTGCTCATCATTTTTCAACCGTAGGTATCGAGCAAGGGATCCCTTTAGTAAAATCATGTTTTATGTCTGCTGAGACACTTGAGCAAAACCGGCAACTGCGTGAAGTGTTTGCGGTGTAAATTTTTGCTCCGTGGTGAATGCTCTAATCCTGTCACACTCTGTGCGTAAAATTGTGGTGGTATTAGCGAGTCACTGTAGTCTCCTTTCTGCAGTTTATTGGATCTAGGTGTATTCCTTGAGTAAGTTAACGTTATTATATTATATATGGGTGTTTGTATTTTTTTTCTTGTGTTCTCCTCGTAAGTAACTTTGGGTTTCCTGTCTCTGTATAAGCAGTTTACTTCCTTCTACCCCTCGCTGGCCACGTTGCAATAGTAAATTGGTGTGCTGTTTCAAGAGTGTCTCTCCTGTCAGTCTGATAAGATCGTACCACCAGGAAGGCATGACATTATAATCCCAAGCACAATGAGATCCTGTTCATTTTAGCTCTTGTACTTGTCAGAGGGACAAGAATAAAGGTTGTGCATGGGTGGAAGGTGAGGCTAGAAGTGAAGGTAGTCGGAGAAAAAACACTTTGCTAAAAGAGATAAATCCTGTGCAGGGACATTTGAGTTTGTAATCAAGGTATTATCTAGAAATGAACTTTGAAAGCTGGCTGGGATGTCCTGAACAATACAGGAGGTAAAGCTGACATAGAGAATACAGAGCTGTAATATGGATTTGTGACAGGGGAAAAAAATTATTTTGTCCTTCATTTTTTCTTAGATTTGGTGCCACGTTTGAAAATCTAGTCATACCAATACCATAGACAAGAATAATAAGACTACTCTACAAGAAACAGATCTGCAAGAAACAAGAGATTTATGGTAATTCTAGACTTACTACATTTTACCGGAAGAAATGAGTGCTTTCCAGAAAAAGGCTCTGAAAAGAGGCAAAATTTAAGGCATGCCTTAGGGTATGGGGACTTCAGCCCCTTAGAAAGAATCCCAGCAATTACCTAACCTGCCAACTTTCCAACAAGATAAATGGAAGCACTGTAGCTTGAAGGTGCCTTGGTTTGAATGAGATGCAGTAAGTAAGGTCTCTCTATTCTTTACAGGCATCATAGATCTGATAGTACTTATAAAAGAAGAATAGAGTTGGTGCCCTGCTGACTAAATTGTCCTCTAGAGGAGTATTAGTTACAGAGCTTCTTTGTTAACTAGGCTGTATGCTTAAACCACTGTGAATTTCTCTTATTAGTAGGCTTTTTAATAGCTTTACCTATGGATATGCTAAGTAAATGCAAGTATATCCATGTAATTTATGTATATAATGTGTACATGTACAGTATTTTATATATAAATAAATGCTTGTGATGTGGAAATTGCACATGACTTCATTACTGTTCTGTTAAACTGAGGTAAAAGCAAGCATTAAAATAGTGATAATAGGAGAACAGTAAGTCGACTTCGGCTCTTTCTGTCCAGGTGCTTCACGTAAAGTCTTTCTTCTCCTTCTCTTTAATTTCCCAATTAGCTTTTGTGGATAACAGAGGTGTTTCTAAAGCCTTTGTATGCTGGAAGTTTCCCAGTTGCTCGCCTACTCAAGCTTTCTACCTTAGAAGACTAGGAAAGGCCATGAAGTGTATGTTAACAAAAAATACAAAGTAATGATCTGCAAACCACCCTGCGCAGAACAGGTGATATTTCTCATTTTAGCCCGCTGTAACACAAGGTAAAGGTTGTGTAACACAGCCCAGGAATCTAGATAGGCAACAGCCTTTCATGCTGTCCTGAGAGCAACCTCATTATCAGCTTCCTTGATGGGTCTGATGAATGAATGCTACCATAGCATCCTCAGCAGATGAGCTGATTGCAAAGTTCCCCAGCCAGGGGAGGAAATCCCGGTGCTTACGCTGAGCGCAGGTGGGGAGCACAAGGCACCACGGGTGCGCTGAGCCTGCCTGGCTGCTCTCTCTGCATGTACTGGGGGAGCGTGGCTTTGCTTTTTAAATAGACTGGCATCATGCAAGCTTTCCTCTTTCTTTTCCGCTTTTGTGAAGGAGTTGCATCAGGTTGGTGAGGAAATCCCTGGAAGGCAGGCATTTGAGGAAACGCCTGGGGCTCGTCAGTCACTCCACCCCCCACGGGAGGCTGGAGAAGTCAGATGTGACCTGATGGGAAAAGTGAACTTCATTCCTGTCCCCAAGTTCTTCTCCACATGCACGCTCAGCAAGCTGGGGAGGTGCTGTGGGGAGCAGTCAGGTTTTGCCTTGGTCTCTGAACAACAGATCATTTCATCACAGACAGTGCTAACTGCTTCATGGCTTATTCGTTATTTTGGCGTGTTTGTTTTTCAAGTACTTCGTGGCTTGCCGAAACAAATGACAGCTTTAATCCACACACCCTTTTAAAATCTTTGTTATTCTAAATGTAAAGCCCTGTGTTTTCTATATCTTCTATCAGTTGGGTGCCTATCTGGTTTTTTATGCAGAATTTGTATTTCTTTAGAATAGGCTCTATTCTGCTACATTCAGTTTTCAGGGGTTTATTATATGCTTTTCAGCAGCATTTGTTTTATCAGCACTTCCTGCAGCATTTGTTACACATCACAACAGCAGTGATTTAATTCCATTTAGAAGAATACCATATTATGTATGGCAAAGCAGTAATTGCTTACCTGTTTGCCGAATACATTCTACTGTGAAAATTCTTTAGCGTTGCTCTATACAGTATCAAACGGTGTTATATCTTGTTTACATTTTCTACAGTTAATAGTTTCGAAAAAGAAACAATGAAAATAGTTTATTGCCCATTTCACAATCAAATTTCCATTTGTAGGGATTTAGAAGTCTACTCTTGAGTTAATGCAGAGTCCACACACAGACTGACGTTTCAAACTTAATTTTTGATTTTCATATGCCTCATGAAATACACGTACAATTTTGTGCTTGTCAGAAAAAGCAAAACTAACCTGTGGTGAGGGTTGTGCTTGAAGTATTTGTGGAAGTTTGTGGGAAATAAGGTCTGCGAGGTGTCTTGCAGAGAGCTAAGTCGGGTGGGTTGTATTTGCTACCTTTATGCATGAGGTGGCTTCTAATGAATGTTATTGGTGTTTAAATTGTTAATCCTACTCTTGCCATGCCTTGGAAGACTGACTGTATCTGTCTCTTAGGGGAGACTGGCTGTGAGCCTCCCTCGTAAGGGAGGCAGTCAGCATCAGGCAGGACTCTAAATACACCACTTTGCATTTTGTCCAAGTTCTGTAACTTCTACAAATAACTTTATTTTTTGCTACGAAAATTAGGCAGCAGTAAGGCTTTGCTTCCTGAGCTCTTTGCTCAGGCATAGCCCAGTTCTTTTTGTGCTTCTCGGCTGACAGGTCCTGTTGTCTACGGTGCAACCACTTGCATGAGCCAGACAAGTGGAGTCGGTATCAACCAAAGTAACACACTCTGTCATCCCAGTTACTGGAAGCCTCAAGGGTCATTTAATGACCTATTTCATATGTGAGGTAGCTCTCTGCCTCTTGTTTGCACCTTAATTCGTGAATGGAAGTAGTAACATGCTCCTTAACTAGTGCCTTGCCAATAGTCACAGAAGCGCAGCTATCTTTGCGCTTTGCAGTTTGTATGAGATTTTTCTGTGATGCTTAGTCATTAACATTTTTCCTGGCAGTTAAGGGGCATGCACTGGCTTTGTCACAGCGTTCTTGTTTTTTCATATCTGATTTTACAATGATTGAAAAAAACAAGTTACTCCCACAGATCCAAAGATGAGTCTAACTCCCGTGTTACAGCTTTAGGGAATATGCCCAGCAATTCGTAGTTACAATTCAGATGTGCTTTGACCTACGTAGGAAATTTCTCATTGAAAATGCAGCAGTTATGAACTGAAATGGAACAACTGTTTAGCGGTGTACTCAAATGAAATTGAAGAGAAACTGTGAGTTGTTCACTGGTATTTGACGGAAATACAGAAGCAGCCTTCCTTGCTCCTGGGTGGCCAGTGGGTCCTGCGCTGCTGCTGAGGGCAGGGCCTCTTCTTGTGTCTCTTCTGCAAGGTGAAGGAGCTGCATGCGAGTGTTGGAAGGGCTGCATATTTTACACCCTTCTTCTCTCGTTTTGCTGATGGTTTAAAGAGTGACATGTATAAGCTGCGATTGTAACGGTAGCAAACCCCAAAATTAAATACTGTGTGAAAGTGAAACTGATGTATCATTTTCATTAGTTTTAGTATGCTCAGGCAGAATTTGGGGGATTAATTTTGAAAGCTTAATCCAGATGGAAAAGGTTAAATTCAATGTTGAGTGAATTTGGTTCCAATTCGTTTGTTGCCCTTGCTTGTTCTTCTTCTCAAAAGAATTAGAGATTAAGTGGAGAATTGTATGTACTATCCTCATTTTCTGCCATCATTTAACTACATGAACCAACGTTACAGACAACCTCTCGGTTATCTGCTGCAATAAGTAAACAAATGGACCTCGTCACCGTGCCAGCTCTCGAGTCCTGTGGCCTGAGTATTAGTTCATACGACTACTTACGTTCTTTTTATCTTTATTCTCAGGATTTATCTGGATCCATTGACGACTTGCCGACTGGAACCGAAGCAACCCTGAGCTCAGCCGTTAGCGCATCAGGCTCTACGAGCAGCCAAGGGGAGCAGAGCAACCCTGCACAGTCTCCGTTCTCCCCTCATGCTTCTCCACATCTCTCTGGCATCCCCGGGGGCCCATCGCCTTCCCCTGTAGGCTCTCCCGTTGGAAGCAACCAGTCGAGATCTGGTCCCATTTCTCCAGCGAGTATTCCAGGTAAGTTTGTTCCAACACACAGAATTAAACCGATGGAGAGGTTTATTAAATAAATACTGCTGTATTCCAAATTCTTTTTTTTTTCCTGAGAATCCTGCGTTTTCAGGTCCTTCTTCTGAAGGAAAAAAAAAACCCAAAACAAACAAAAAAAACCCCAAAAAAACACCCATACTTAAAACAGGGGGTAAATTCCGTCTACGCTTCAGGTGCCAAGCCCTCAGAGTGCTCAAAATTCTGAACTTGACTCCACATATTGATAAATGTCTTCATCATTGACCAATGTGAATACTTGATTGTAATTTTTGTATTTGGTTCGTGTGTCATCTCTCTCTCACATATTCCTCTCTGTTGTTTACAGGGTCCCTTTTTGGTTTTTACTGTGTATTTTTCTTGGGTTTGGCTCTTGGACTTGTATGGTGGTTTCAGACCTGCAGGATGAGGCAGAGATTTTCCAACCCTGCATTGTGATAATGTTATTTTGGACATGAGTACAGAATATTGTATGAGATATTTCTTAATATGTGCAAAGGTCAACAAGTTACTAGGAATCCAGCCCCACCAGTAATAATTGAAATGCCAGTGGCATGCCTGTTGCTTGCTCTCTTGTGCCACATAGACTATGACACACAGTCATTCATGTACTTTGAGAAATTTGTGGAAATTTGTTAAGATACCCAGAATAAAAAAGAAGGCATGCATTAATTCCAGTTCTTACCTTGTCCCCACCCATCTGGCATGTTACTTGCAGGGGGTCAGGCAGCAGTGTGTACTTGGTATTTCAGATGAGTTTATTCTCTTTCTGATGCTCAAGTTTTTGATTATTTTCTGACATTTTGAATACTAGGGGAATTCCTAAGAGTAGGAGAGTGCTGACATTACCCAAGGGATAACATCAGTTGCTGACAAAACCACGAAAAAATCAACATGGGGCTCAGTTAAAAGAAACAAAAGCAGTGATGCCTTTTCATTAGATGTGCTGTAAACCAAATGCAGGTTAAAATTCAGTGAGTAGCGTGTGTTCCGGTATTCAATACAAAGGTATCTGTGTAAAATGTACGTGCTTGTTTGTATGCAGAGGTTAAACTAGATAAGCAAAGGGGACCAAGCTCAGTGCACGCAGGAATGTTGCGTACTAAATGTGCCTGGAGCGTGTTGAGCCCTGATGCTGCGTGTGTGCCCTGCACTTACTTCTTCCCTCTCCAGCCACTCTGACCGGCAGCACGTGCTCAGGTGGGGCAGGAATAGTGGGGACCGCAGCAGGACCGGAGTATTTGCATTATGTGCGGTATGGTAGCTTTGTGTTTGTGGCACATTTCCCAGTACGTGGTGCAGAAGCCTGTCCCTGTTGTTGAGTGAAGCCAGGTAGTCCACCTAGCTGGAAAGGTAACATTTTGCCATAGATTCGGCCAAGTAAATGGTCTGGCATTTTAGCAGCCTGATTGGTTTTAAACTAAAGGAGGGTTGATTTAGAGTGGATATAAGGAAGAAATTTTTTACAATGAGGGTGGTGAGGCACTGGAACAGGTTGCCCAGAGAGGTAGTGGAGGCCCCATCCCTGGCAACATTGAAGGTCAGGTTGGACGGGGCTCTGAGCAACCTGATCTGGTTAAAGCTGTCCCTGCTCACTGCAGGGGGATTGGGCTAGATGACCTCTAAACGTCCCTTCCAACCCAAAGCATTCTATGATTCTACAGATAGGGAGGGAAATAACGTGGTGACATTGAAAATACCTTTATTGTAGCCATGATAGATAAGGATGGGAACGGGACAATGTGTAGGGAGGGGAAAGCAGTAACTTTCATGAAACCAATTGATCCCTGCAGGGTAAAAATAGAAGGGGTGTGGGCCCAAAGGTCAGGGTCAGAGTCACTTCATCACTTCAGCTGAGCCCAAAAGCTCATTTTTGTGCCTGGCCTAGTGAAAAGTATTGCCTCTTCATACAAACCATGCCATCATTTTGCATGGTGGTTTTCTGGTCTGCTGCGGTAACACAAAAGCAACTCTTCCTCAGGAAGCATTTTTATGAATGGCGCTAAATCAAAATGGCCCGCCGCTGTTTCCCTGGCGTGGGCGAGCTCCTGGTCTCTGCAGCTCTTTTGCTAAAGGTGAACTCCCAGGAGTGAGCTAATGCAGCACTTTCTGGAGGGGAGCTGGGCAGCGGTGGTAGCATTGCTCCTGCTGCTGCTGCTGCTGCTGCTGCCGCTGCCGCCGCCGCTGCCGCGTTTCTCAAGCTACAAAATGACACGAGCAAGGCTGCTATTTAAAACCCTGTGACTAGTGGGACACTGCCAGTTGCTGGGGCTTTCAAGCCGTATGAATTAGACTGTGCTTTCACCTAAGTGTATTCCCACCATTGTGCTTCATTACTAGGACTTTGGTAGCTTTTTTCATCAGCCATATTCATGAGACCCTATGAAGAAGTAATACAGAGCTTGTTTGCATTTCTGTGGCTGTTTGCAACATTCAGGTTGTGGCTGTTTTTAAACATAGATTGTGTAGTACAGCGTCTCGCCTTTAATAATTTTGTTCGCTGCTATTTTCCTTTCCGTTCTCACCCTACCCTTGTTTGTTCTGACCTCATTCCTCTCCTATTACCTCCTGCGATGTTGTGCCACAGCTTCTCCATGTGACATAGATTGGCTCTTTCAATCATTCTCTCTCCAGCAAGTCATTGTAAAATGAGCAGCTGTTGTGTTGCTGATAGCTATGGCTAGGGAAAGCCAAGATGTTGCAGGGGGTTCTTGGTGGGAAGGCCGTTAAAATAAAGGTGTTGCTTTCCCAGGGTTTACTGGAAGAGAAGCATCCTTTTCCCAGTGCCTCCTTCCTTGCACCGAAATTGAAGACTAATTTAACATCAAAAGGGCAGACAAACAAACAGCCCCCTATTAAACCTCCCAAATGGCTGATTCTCTTCCACTGCCTGTTTAAGCTGTCTCCCCACCCCACCGCAAGCCTGCAGCCCCGCATTGCTTTCTGCCGCACGCCGTGAATTTCACGGGAATGGACTGGCACAGGCAGCACTGACATTGGCACGTCCCTAGCTCAGTGGGCATTTCCTTCCTGTGCTCTGAAATACTGGATGGATATTTTGTGTGGTAAGTGGCACACACATATACAGTCTTTGTTTCCATTCGCATTACTGGAATAGACCAGGGAGATTAACCCCTAAGAGTAGAAAAAGCAACTTCAGTGGGTTTTGTTCAGAAATACGGTTTTCTCTGACAATGGTAACACTTCGTGTTCAGACGCCCATTCATTACAGGACTGAAATCCTACTCTTTTATGATTTTTAGGGATTCAAAATGGCATTCTGATTTCCTGTTAAGTAGGTCATTATTCTGCTTTGCCAGAAATCCTGATCTCTTTATTTTGTGGCCATCTTCATAATTAGGGTACGTGTTCTTCCAAAGAATGAGATGTGATGCCCTGCGCTGCTTTGGGTCTTGAACTGTGCCTGATTCAACCCTAAACCATTAGTGGAAGCTGACGCAGCACATCATCAAAATGTACTGCTGTTGCCAGAAGATTTAGTGGCTGTTAATTTCACTTTTCTCTGTTTTTTTTTTTTCTCTTTCC